CTTTCACCAGTAGCACCGTACTCCGAGTTGCCACAGTTTCGGGCACCCAAAACTGGGAATCAGATATAGCCAAGCATTCAGAGCGATGATCTTCTGGGCTATACCGGCTGGGACTCGGTTCCCGAGGGTTCAGCCATGCCAGGAATATCAACGGGGAGCAGTCCGACAAAGAACTGTGAGTCTACATACTGCAAAAAATTGCATTATGAGTCGGTTTGGAGATAAAACCGTACTGTTCTCTGCGATGGGAGTGTGAAGACAGTAAGGCGCTTCTTTCAGGTGACCAACCAGTCTATATTTGTGCGAGCTGCGAGCCTGCGTTCCTCTGAGGAAGGACTGGTTAGAAACGATCGACCGTGAAAGCCCCACTCTCCCATTGCCGAACGTTTGACCGTGATCACGGAGGTATTACTCCGTACGGTTGAAATACTTTTAAAACCAAAGAAGGCTGGGATACCTGACAGTATCCCGAAAGGGTGCTACAGCTGAACGATGCAGTCGCATTACTAGTAAGACAGCCTTATTCTCTACGCCCTCGGGCCATGCTAGCCCCTTCCAGCCAAGTGAGTCAGACCGTTGAGTTATTGGTTCCGGGAAGTGTCGCCTTCATAATGGAGTCCGTGGTTAAGGGCAGGGTCCCCAAACAAGACTCTACATCCTTCTACTGCCTTGTGGGTGTTGGGGATATCAATATCCCCCAAAAAACGCTGTATTTTTATGTGTGCTAGCGCGGAAGCTCGGAGCATCGCCTTTTGATCGCGTGTTTTTGGATCATTAAAGTTTGTGTCCGAGGTTTTTCGTCTTCTTACTATCCACCGTGCTAGGAGTCTGGATCAAGCAACATAGCTGGGGATAGAGTATTGCCACCATCCGCATATCATATTGTTTGCTCGCTGCGTGACCGAACCGTAACAGCGGGTCAGTCTTTTGAGTCACAAGCTCAAGGTGGGGTATCTCAAACTAACCCAGTTCTTCGGCCTGTGCGACCTGGAATCATCTTTCGTCTTTACGGGCCTTTGTTCACTGACTTCTCCGCATACATCCTTCGTACGTCATTTCGACTCATTTGGCTGTCAGTCATCCAACTATTGCTCCGTATTTAACCTGTTCAGTACAGTAAATGAAAAAAACCCTTATTAACCTCAAGTGGTCTGTTCCACATTGCTGTTTTCAATGTTCGTACTCTGTGTCGGATTGGGCAACAGGCTGTTCTCTGTTGATTGATGCATGTCGTGTTTCCGAAACACACAAGATCCAAGTTCGGTCACACGTCAAACCGCTCAGTACGAACCCAGCTTTCTCTCTATTTACGTCTGGTGATCCTGATGCAATGGCATCAATGAAATCTACCGTATGGAAGTTGTGCTTAGTCCTATGGCTGACTTCGCCTCACTGGACTGGATTGCAGTAAACACCTGTCTGTACTGTCAGGTTGACTGGTTCACTGAATATCAGTGCATTTCGACGTGGCAAACGGTGTTTGTTTGTTATGCCAGCATATGCTCCGACAGACGGCAGCTCTGAGGCTTTATCCTGATATGTCACGTTACTCCGGTCAGCGAAAATTACAAATATTGTGATTCTGGCAGTTGATATGAGTGATCAGGTTGTCGGACTAATTCCTGATGAAGCCCACCTTGGCGAACGCCTCGGAGTTGACGCTCACGGCACAAGTAATTGGGAACGACTTCTTTATTCATGTACCCAACAACATTCTTTTCTGCCGAATACTCATTTTCAGCACAAGCTCTCATCATGTAAATTGGTGGCCACCCACTGCAAACCAGTCGTGGACTCAGTTCGACCATGTAGCAATCAGTTGCCGGCGGAGAGCATCGAAACGAGATTTTCATTCATGTTGGAGAACACCACTTGATACCGATTGCTGCATTATACGGGCATGCGTATCTGGTAGTCTCCCTTCCGGAACATACAAAGGCATTCAGCTCATCATCTGCAAAGCGTCTCAGTGGCTCATCCCTATTAAGTTGAGTTGTCTGTGAATCTCCCAGAACTCAACAGGAGCGATTGTGATTCGGATGATTACTGGATAAACACGAGGGAGGCCACGATCACAGCCTTTGAAACCGTCTGCGTGGAAACGTCTACACACCCCAACGAACGCTAGATCTCGTCACGATCAGCAGCTCTGATATAAGTCAAGAAAACCGTACCAGATACTGATGGCGCGCGTGCAAATCCATCAAACGTCGAACAATGAGGAGCCTAAGGATTGACAGAGAGCGCTGGTGGTCCACAGAAGCCCTGGAAATTGAGAAGGCTTTTGCATCGGGAGACGGTCGCACTATGTTACAGCTCACCCGAGCAACTAGTATTAGTGGAACAATTTCTGAAAAGAATCGGACCTTAATCTATCCATAGAAACGTCATCTTTAACGATGGGCTGAACATCTTGAAGAACATTTCAGCTGGGCCCCATCAGGTCACCTTCAAGGGTTAAAAGGGACTTCGAAAACAGAGGTACAGTTCGTAATCTCATTACTTCAGTGAAACAAAGTACATGAATCAGACGGCTTGCATTCTGCATCCTTCAAAGTGATCAGTCCACCTTTGCCGACCTAATGCCCCACTAGAAAATGTCTAGAATGAGGAAAAAATTCCCACAAAAAGCAGCACCTCAGTGGGGACACATGTAAAAAAGATTCAAGAACATCGTGCGAAAATCATTAGGGCATCAGCCTAGTGCCTTTATCTTCCCAATTGTTCTTTGGCATCATCCCGCGCGGTTGATCCGTCAGCCAGATAGTCAGATTCATCATCATCATCACCATCATCATCATCATCATCATCATCACCACCATCATCATCATCATCAATCAATCATCATCATCATCAAAGACAGCAACATCAGTGTTGGCACTGATGCTTCACTGCCGTCAGATTCGGAAGAATCAAACTGGTTTTTGCCCTTGACGGGGTCGCATTGACCAAATTTTCAGCTTGTGACAAGTGTTGGGACTGCGCCACTCCTGACGACCAATGGTGGTCATACTTTTCTTCCCCAAATCTGTTTTTAACTCTGTCGATCGTCAGAAACTGTGGCAGTGGCTTGTGATGAAGGGTGTTCCTTCCAAATTCCTGTCTTTTATACCTCCAGTGGGTGCGTAGGTGTCCACATAAGATTTTATCCTGAGTTCACCACATCCAGCGGCGTACAGCAAGCAAATAATCTGTTGCCGTTTCTCCCGATCTCCATAATCGATGGACCAAGTGATTAAAGCGCGAATTTACTGACCGGAAGGTCCGTGTTTCGAACCCATGCTCTGTCTCTCGGCTTCCCCTGTCTAGGCTTGGACAACCTGGCAGTATCCCAGCCCTCTTGCTTCCTTTGGGTGGCATGGCAACTAGGCACCGAAAGGGTGCTACAGCTGGACGATTTTTTTCATAATCTATATGATGCTTGAATCTTCTTTGCCGGGCTCTAACAGCTCGGGGTTTTAAATTCTCCCGGGGCGTTCGCTCACAAAAACTAAGTGCACCGACCGTATTGCTCTTCTTTAACCACACCCTTTAGAAATCTAAGCCATTTTAAATAACCCCAATAAGTAACTCTGCCGCACAGTTAGGTATGCATTTGGCACCTGTACAGTTTAAAGTCTTGCTTCAAGATTGGGTGGAATCAAATCCCACAGGTGAACCGACCAATATAATAGATAGGTTCGTTTGCCTGGTCATCTCCCTAAGTCCTCCACCATTTGTGGTGCTGACGTGACATCAGCTTGATTGTCAAGGGTTGAGTGTATGGTACCGCGGTCTGATCCGTCCTACTTTATGGATCAGAGATGTAGTCGGTGTGTAACGAAGCTACTTTTTAAGGCAGTCTCTGGTTCCTACTCCATTTTCACATTCTAACTGTTCCTCTGTGGATGTGGACAACCCAATAATCATTCAACCCCACACTTTCCGTAGTGCGACGTCTATGAAACAGTCTCTGGTTCCTACTCCATTTTCGCATTCTAACTGTTCCTCTGTGGGTGTGGACAACCCAATAATCATTCAACTCCACACTTTCCGTAGTGCGACGTCTATGAACCAGAAGGCGTGTACTCGAACAACAGATAGGAAGGCGAGCTTTAAAGTCACTTGACTTCAGTTGAACTGGACGGTCGAATGAACTGTCGGTCGTGGACCGTTTGTGGCATCGTTTTAAACTTTTTATAACATTCAGACACCAGTATTCTCGCACTGATACCTTTATTCAGATTAGGGATGAGTGTCAGTTTCATGAGTTACCCAAGGGTTTCACCATCTGGCTCGTGTCACCCACAGATATATGGAGGTTAAAGACAATCGTTCAGTTGCAAAACCCTTTCGGTGCCTAGTTGCCATACCACCGGAAGGAAGCGCGAGGGCTGGAATACCGCCAGGTCGCCCAAGCTCAGATAGGGAGAGTCGAGATGCAGGGGCCGGGTTCGAGCCACGGACCTTCCGGTCAGTAAATTCGCGCCCTAACCACTGATGATTTGTCTTTAGAAAGTGAACGCGTCCCCTGTAGTGGTCACTAGGAACCATAGGTCACTTTTTACACTCCCTCATGTGTTTCAGACTTCTAACACTTAAGAGCGTGGCTTAGTGTACTTCAGTGGATTCTTGCAGCATTCTAAACAGCCTCTTCTTTTGCAGAATAGCCTTGCTTGCATGTACGAGTTATAAAGGTCGAAAGTTAGTGCTCTTGAGTGAGTGGAAAAATGAAATTACCCCGCACTTTGTCGAGAGGATCTGGTCAAAAATTACCCCTTTTCGGCCGATAACATGGCTTTGGAACCTGACTCTGAACAACAGGAAGAGTTCTTCGACTGCGTCACCGATGGTATTGCGGATTTTTCTTCTAACTTTTTTTAGTGAAGTATTGTGCAATCGCCTCACCCAAAGGTCAAGGTGCCGGGGAAGTTTTTGTAGATTTCAGCAAAGCCCGAGCGAAATGGAAACAAATCAAAGGATCGAGGATGAAGATTTTCGACAATTACGGCGAAGCTCAGACTTTTGCTAATACCCCAATAGAACAAGCAACACATGAAAATGCGTATCCTCCAGTACCTCATTTTTTGAACTGTTTTTTTCAAATATTTAAGTCTCCCAAAGCAGATGTCGAAGCCACCCCGTTTTCCAGTGTAACTCAAGGACTGTTGGTCAAATTTCGGAGTTTCATTGAGCAGAGTGACCTTGACAGTATTCGCACCGCAATTCAAGACAATCCGATGTGCCTCGTCACCGCCAGCGACACACCTACTCTTCTTCAGGTAAGTCCCCTATTTTGGTCCTCAGATTCATTTTTTACTACGAGTTTGATCGTGTTGTCTTCCTAAGATGACAGCAAATGGACTGGTGATTCGCCCCTCCCTCCCACGAATGTTACCTTTGCTTTACCGAAAGTTTTTTCGTCCTTTTTCAATGCTGTTTTGGTCGGTGTTGAAAGTAGCCACGTGAAATGCACTTTCTCTCTTAACATGCTGCGCCCATTATATGTTTGTGTAGATTTGAAACAACTTTAGCCACGTGAAATGCACTTTCTCCCTCTCTCTCTTTCACTCTCTCTTAACATGCTGCGCCAATTATATGTTTGTGTAGATTTGAAACAACTTGTGCTCAATCTGATACATTGATCAGCTAGCTGAATGTTGTGCGTTCTGATGGAACTTCCACTCTGTGCGTGGTAAGCGGATATGATAACTCCGACGCCACCATCCCAGTGACCATACTCAAAGGTTCACGTTTGGAACTCTGATTAGGACGTCTCTCGCTGCGGACCACCTACTGTAGAATTTTGGTGAAATCACATTCAGAAAAGATGAAGAACATTAGTTCCGCTTGTCCGATCCACAAACGAGGTGATTGTTCATGGTATGCTGAAGGAACAGAAGGGGGTAGCTTTATCTGGACAGGAAATACTGAGTTCCTTCCTTGGACAGAACAGATACTTTTATATGTAATGGACGTGGTGGGCCGGATCACCATAACTCTTTCTATGCACATTGGCGTAGGCGCAGATAACCATATGCCAAAGACTAGGCTGAAAAGCGTTGGGGGGATGAAAATATAAAGTGACGTGTAAGCAAGCGTTCGGGTTCTTTTGATAGCGTTTCTGAAATAGTGTGTTACTGATTCACATGGAGGAGTGTAGCGAACAATCAACCTCTCGGTAACAAAATTTGGCATAAGGCTCAAGTACTTTGCAGTTGAGATCCAGCAATTGATGGACTTTTCAGATTTCGAACGACACCACTGAGTTTCGGACGGTGAATCTAAGAAAATGGATGAGATAGCTCAGTGGTTAGAGCGAGAATTTATTTACCGGAAGGTCCCTGGCTCCAATCCGATCTCGGCATCTTAACTTCTCCTGTCTAGGCTTGGGCAGCCCGCCCACTGAGTTACGGTGAATCTAAGAAAATGGATGAGATAGCTCAGTGGTTAGAGCGAGAATTTATTTACCGGAAGGTCCCTGGCTCCAATCAATCCTCGGCATCTTAACTTCTCCTGTCTAGGCTTGGGCAGCCCAGCAGCATCCCTTGTGCTTCCCTCCGTCGGTATGGCGGCTATATATATATATATATATATATATAT